TATAGCTAGCTCAAATAGGGAAAAACCTGCATAAACTGCATAAACAATGCATAAACAATGCTCTATAAATATATTTTAACCTCCTTGCTAAGGCTCCCATACACGTTGTCTTTTTGTGTGTTGTGCTGAAAATTTTCTTTGGCTTTAGTTCTATGTAAATTATTAATTTGATTGAGGGAATTCATCTCCCAAACATCTGTATAAGGGTCCAAGCAAACTTACAATCCCCCAAAGATATACCAGAGATGCTGGACCAGTAAAAAAGCAATACGACCATAGCAGCATATACAAGATATTTATTGGTTCAGACATGTCAGTGATCGTTAGGTATTTTTAATGAATTTAATGAGATAAAGTGTGTATGTGTAACCATTATGTACTTTTAATTGGCTTAATGATGACCTTTTTTTTTTTTCAGCATGTTAGTTTTTATTGATAGAATAAATGGTAACAATGCAGGTAAACTGTGATCGCACGTTTGTTTAGCCTGTACCCAGTCGGATCTGGCTCGAGGGGAGGGGTCTTGCCTATATTTCAGGTACGCAGTCCTAGCCGCTATGCATGCCTCTACGGCCACGGTGTACATGGGGTGGCTACATCCGGGTGCCGCGTCCCGCCACTATGGAACATAAAAGTCTCGTAACATGACTTTGTAAAAATTATAACAGGAACCGTAATGAAACAGGTCAGTCATTGATCCATGAACTCCCGATATTCACATACCCTTGCGATCAGGCTGTGTATTGTGAGCGCCTCTTGCGTTAAATCCCTCATGAAGAGCTGGAGGACTGTGTTGCCACAGATTCAGGCCTTCTTTTTTCGCGGCGGGCTCTTGAGAGGTGATTCCAATCGAGCAGTATAGTTGGACAGATGGCGGTCTACATAGCCTTGGGCTTGAGCCGCAGACGTAAAGCGGTGTTGGTTGCCATCAGGGTCGGATATGCGCAACACAGCTGGGTATGCCAGGATAAACTTAATACGCTTATGTACCATGGTCTGACAGACCTCATGGAAGGAGCTGCGTTGTTTAGACAGCTCCGCGGAATAATCCGCAAAGAGCAGTAATTTATGGCCGTCCACTATCAACTGGCGCTGCCTCCTGTAGGTTTGCAGGATGTGGTGTTTATCTGAGTAATCAAGGTATCTGACAATGACCGGCCTGGGTCGTTCCTGATCTTTGGGGGGGCCTATTCTGTGTGCCCTTTCCACTGCACAGGTGGATGCGAGGCCCATAGCTTGTGGTAATGTAGAGGCACAGTAACGCTGGAGATCAGTAGGCGGAATAGATTCAGGGATCCCTATGATCCTAATATTATTTCTACGCGATCTGTTTTCAAGGTCGTCAACCTTTTCCTGTAGATATTGTAACGTTTTTCTATCCTCAGAGAGGGATCTGACTGTACCTGAGGCCTGATCCTCCATATCACTGACACGTGACTCCAGGGTCTGCATCCTAGATGCATGTGCTTCCAGGGCTGCTGTTATAGGCCCCATGTGCAGTTTCAGAGTGTCCACAATGATGGAGCTGATATCTACCCTTAGATGTGAGGCAACAGTGGCTGCCAGCTGTTGGTAATCCAGGGGGGCATGGGGAGATGCATCAGCAGACTCACCCAGCGGTGTGACGTCATCGGCGTCTGTGTCTTCCATGGCCGCGGCCTCCTGCTGTGGGGCCGCCGGGCTGGAGGGAACAGCGATGTTCCGGCGGACCGGCTGTGATCGAGCCACGAACTTGTCCATGGCCAGTGGGACACGTCAGACGATTGGGGCGCTCGTTATGTTTCGGTTCAGGTGCGGGAGTTGCGGTCTGGATGTGGCGGGGACGGAGCTCCTGTATTCACCGTCTAGTCCATCCGGCGCCGGAACCGGAAGTCTTAATGATGATCTTACAGGTACCATCTTACACTTGTTCACTATCTTTTTATTTGTACTTTCTTTTTAGTCCACTTCAGCCTCACCAATGACGCCACTTATGTAAAATCAACTTTATTGAAGTCCCACCAACAGTCTGCCCCTCTCCAACGTGTTTCACCCAACACGGGCTTAGTCATAGAGATGGAGGGGGTCTAAGTGGGGAGAGTATTTATATTGTGACTAATTAGAAACATTTAATGAAGCACATCTGAGAAACATTGTATAACAACTGGGCGAGACATGTGCAATGTATAATTACCATAGAGTGGAACATAGCATATCATGTATACTAGATTCATAATATCTATTTTACACAAGTGATGTCATGTCAATATGATGTTATCTGTGTGGCTGACTTGGATTTTGAGACTTTCATACTCTGGAGTGACATGCTTTACTGGCAGGCATCAGGTATTCCATTTGGCTTAACCGATGGATTCTGGGATGATGCAATGTCATTTTGGGGTTTTGAAACTAGTCCATGCTTAACCTGGAACTAAATTATAATAGAGTATTATGCAATTTCCCTATCCTTCTTCCCCCCAATACTGCTTCTAACCACTCACGTTGGCTTTGTTTATCTTGGCCCCCACTGAGCCGGATGAGCGCAATCCTGTGATTGTGCCCTCTGTAAATTAGCAGTGATCTAATGCAGGGGCAATCCATAGAGGTCTCAGAAGCACACCAGCACAGGCACAGTACTGCACTCAACCAGCTAAGTGGAAGCCATTGTAAACAAAGGGCTTCTGGAAGCTTCAACAAGTGTTTGTCTGTTCTAAGTCTGCATTCATATTTTGTTTAAGTGTTGGTGAAGAAATTGAGGGATTTTACTAGGCATGCTCCTATACCAGTTTTTCAGTACCAAGTACGAGTACTGATATTTTTTTCCAATACTCACCAACACTGGATACCGATACCGGAAGTCCCAATAAAAAAGTTGGGCGCCGTATAATGACTTATACGCCGCCCGGCTTCCTGATTAGCCAGGAAGCCGTCTCCATGCTCACTAGTCACCAGGTGACTAGGAAGCATGGAGTCGGCATTCTGGCCAATCAGGATGCTAGGGGGGGTGGGTAATGACTCGCCACCCGGCCTCCTGATTGGCCAGCTTCCTGACCAATCAGGAAGCTGGGCGACAAGATATTACATGCCGCCCAGCTTCCTGATTGGCCAGGAAGCCAGCTCCATGCTCCCTGGTGACGGCTTCCTGATACTGGAAGTTCCGGTATCGGGATAGGCATCAGGAGCATTTGGGTGCGTATGAGCGTATGAAGTCTGCAGCTTCTCTGTATGCAGGAGTTCAGATACCAGAGGCGCTGCAGTAATAGTCACATCTTCTTTACTATTTTCTTCCCAAGTCCTGTTTAAATCAACATTGCATATTCTCCTCAATTTCCTTTTTAAAAGTGTGCTTGTGGTTGCTTTGCAGAGTTCATCCTTGTGCATTAGTACCCTACTCACTAAACAGTCTTGATCACCTAGCAGCATTAATGATACAGTGAGCATAACCCTTGCTTTTGAAAAGGCAGTCACTGGCTTTTTTATTTCTTATTTCTGAGGCTAGGACTAAGGTTAGGGCTAGTTCTAGTGTAAGTTTTACTAGCTGTGATTAAATTATTTAAGGGTCAGAAGAAACCAACTCTTCACCTTTTCACTTTAATTGCCCGATCCATTCACATTTGGCTGTATCGTGCAACAAGCCAATGGCTATAAGAGCCACCAACATCACGGCTATTTGTTATCCGTGAAAACATTTGATTGGGCAGTTTATAAAACTGTCCTTAGCCTCTTTTAGCAACATGTGCCAGTGTCAATCATCTTGACCTTTGTCCCTCTTTGTAGCAACAGACACAATGCTTGCCTGATCCACATTGTCACATTAGTGTACCATCCCCTGATGCCCTTGTCTTTGGTGGTTTTATTATGTATACCGGTCTGACTATTTCAAATGTTTATTGTCGGGTTAGGCATCAGCAGTAATCATGGCATGAGACTGATATGGATCAACCAATGCATTTATAGGCAGCAATCATATGTTTGTTTTATGATATTTATCAGTATAGTCTGATCAATTGCAGTACACATTTTTTAAGTTTGTTCTTAACTACCTGCTGTCCGGTCATTGTAATTAAACGGCCGGACAGCGGCTTCTTGAGGGCGGGTGGGCGTCTTTAGAGCAAGAAACCGGCTTTAAATGTAAACAGCCGTTTGATCTCCTCTCCTCTTCTGAATGCAGGCAGTGATGTGTATTATATCACTTCCTGCATTCAGTGTCACTCTCCGGTACAGAAACCGGAGAGAAGCTGGTGAAGCAGGTCTCTGCTTCATCAGCTTCTCTGGGGTCCCTAGGTAACATTAGGGGTCTCCATAAAGAGGACCTGTCACTGCAAATTGGCTATCACATAGGGAGCTTGCTTGCTCCCTATGTGATAGCAATAAAGTTCAGTGGAAAAAAAAGGTTTAAAAAAATGTGTTACAAAAAAAATAAAAAATCACATATCAAAGCCATAAAAAAATCAAAGTCCCCCCCCCCACGCGCACACGCAAACATGCGTCAAGCCCGCCTACGTGCGACAACGCCGATTACATCCATTGCACCGCACATGTTACATATCGCTGTGAACGTCGGAATGAGAGCAATAATTCTAGGGTCATCAATCACTGATAACACTAAACTGATGAGCGGTAAAAGCTTTTAAGCGTCGGCTATGGTCAATTTTGAGTATGGTAGTTTTTGCGATAACGGGTGACGCAATTTTAAAGCTTGACATGTTTGGTGTCTATTTACCCGACGTGACCCCATCTTTTATATTTTACCAAAAAATTGGGTAATAATAAATGTTTTATAACATAACGTAGGGAGAACAGGTTTTTTTCAAAATTTTCGGTACTTTTTTTATTATACAGTAAAAAAAAAAAACCTGTAGTGGTGATTAAATAGCACCAAAAGAAAGATCTATCTGTCCCAAAAAAATGGTATAAAATTCATTTCAGTACAACGTTGAATGACGGAATAAATGTCAGTCACAGTATCGCAGCGCTGAATAGTGAAAAATGGCCTGGTCAGGAAGGGGGTCTAAACACCCCGGTCAGCAAGTGGTTAAAGTAAATAAGTACTCTGGTAAGTATGTAGGCAACTGTTGCTGAGCAGTGCTTGTGGTCTTGTTATCATGCAATCACTTCCTTAATTTTAAAGTTCGATTATTTTGAAAGTTAAACTTCGGTAAAAACACAAATCTCCTTTTGCAGTGGAACTGTCCCCTTACTGCAAGGGTTACATCCACAATCATGTCTAGTATACATGGAAAAGGGGCTTTTACTTACCTGATCCCTGCTCCCACAGACTCCCTCTGGCTGCAAGGCCCCGGAGGTCAGAGGCTCTCTGACATCATCAAGTACATTGCAGGGCCCATAGGCAGGAAACTAGCATTTTTTTTACAATGACAATCATTTCTTTTGCACAAGTTTCCTTTAAACTATTGCCAACCAGTTTACCCAGTGCTGGAAAAATGTTAATCTGCATCCAGTTGTAGAGCTAGAAGCTTACAGTTGTGTGCTTCTAGTTCTAAGACTACACTGTCACCAACTACCCTAAACTAACTATCAGAAATCAATCTGTAAATTTTCCAATAATGTGATCACCATAAAAGCCAATCATGGTGATCACATGAGGTTTGTTTACAAACAAACCTTGCAGCTTCAGCTGTCACTGTACATTATACAGAGAGAGGCACAGCGAAAGCCAGCAGGCTGCACCTGTCACATAGCAATATACTGAGTAAAAAGATAATAATAAATAAAGCATTTACAAAATATTGTTTAATAGTAAAATAACTAAAGATGCAGTTTTTTTTTTACTTTTTTGTCTAGTTGTCAGGTTATAATAAAACATTAGTAAAAAAAAGCACTATATGTCCTTAAAAACTTAAAAAAATAATTTAGACAAGCAAATTAATTATAGAGCGATAGTCAAGTTAAATGATGTATACTAATGCTGCTACATTTATTCTGAGCATCAAGATTTTAATGACCTCTGGTCCTGAAATGGCTAAAGTACTCCTATCATTAAAGGGTCGATATATAGATCTTCTGCCCAGCGCACAGCATATATAAATTCCCATAGTCCTTGGCTCCATGTAGTGGTGGGAATGCTATGCAAACAGCATTCACCCAGTGTATGGCTGGACAGAAGATTTATAAATCAGCACCTGAGTGTCAGTATATAAATTGGCCCCGTGGAAGAAAGGCGGGCACCACCAGCACATACCTCTGGAGCCCCAAAGCCCAGACCATCTTTCATACATTAAGCGTTAACCTAGGTTATGACTGCACCCCCCTCCTTCTCCCCTGCAATGCCCTATAGGACACTGAGGCTGCTGATTATCTTAAACAACCAATCACAAATGGCAGTAAGAGGTTGGCAAATCCTCAATTACTACCTAGAAAGTATGTTGTTTCGGCATCCTCATTACTTTGTAGATTCTGTTCAGAGGACTGGTGCATTGCAGTTATCTGGGTCAAGAAACCTCTTAAAATGTTTCTTACATATATTTATGTTACATGCCTGTTGTAAACACACCCAGCCTTTACTTTACCTTTCAATTTCATGGAAAGGTTATAGCAGTGAAATTAAGTGAGCGTGAAACGCACAGTAGTGTAATGAATGTTCCCATTATGTATTACAGTCATAATGGAAGGAAATTGCATTTGTTTTATTGTATTATGCACATTGAATAAACAGAACGAAGGGTCATATGTTTTTGACAAATAATGACATGATGTCTGTTGTATGGTATATGCTAGAAGAAACAACATATTCCTATAAGGAGAATTAATTGTTTCTTGCTTGGATAGGGTCTGTGTTCACTTAATCACAGATGAGCTGGCCAACAAAGCTATTATCATCAACATCCCCATCACTATTTTAATCAACATCATCAGGCATTCCGTATTCGTTATCATTCTTTATTGTCATCAGCATCATGAACTTCATCTGCATTTTCCTTGTCTTAGTAGAAATCTGGAAGTAGGCCAGGAATTGATTTGACTTTTAATGGCCACAGAGTCAAACTCTTTCTGTAGACCTGCATTGTGTTCCTAAGCCAAAAGGGAGATGTAACCTGACATGATAATGAGGTCTGAGGGACCCCAAACCTTATGGAGAGAATGGGAAAGTCATATTGCACACAGTGCCACCCTCATTTCCCCCAAAATGCACAAGTTGGCAACAGAACAGATATTTAAATCTCATGTTAGTGCTAAGCTGCAGAGAGGTTGACACTGGGAAATGAAAACAGTTCAGTTTGAAACACAATGACAATGCTAAAACAGTCAAGCTAGAACAAAAGAAGATGTTGTAAACCTCCATTAAACCTCCTAAACCTCCTAAATGACTGTTATAAACCGTTCTTAAACAATCTATAATTGGTTAAATTTCAACTGATTGCATCACTATAAATTAGGGCTGGCCAAAGAAGTCACACACAGATTCCTATGTTTATTAATAACAATATTGAGAACTATTGAGGGCCTGTTCACAGTAGATGCAGTGACTGGTGTTTTTCAGCAACTGACCACCAGTCACCAGTAGGGTACATACAAAACATTGGTATGCTATTTGCCCCATTCAAACCACAAGACAGTTGTGATCTGCGTTGCGATGTGCTGCAACACATTTTGTACAGTGCACTGGACCTGAATGGAGTGTGTAGTTTAAAAACTCCAAATAAAGTTAAAAAAAAAATGTAAACAGTGAAAGCTTTGGCAATGTGTTGTAAACTGGACACTGCCGGAGCTGTCACAACACACTAACCCACCTGCTAAAATGTTCCAGTTTAGTGGATAGGCTAGTGGGAACCGGCCCTAAATGCTGGAACTTTTCAGGTGCTACAGAAATGTATTACAGAGAGTCATTGATGTATAAAACATTTATTAAATTAAATGTAATATATTTAAAAGAAGATAAATTAATTGAAGAAAATTAGAGCTTTGTTAGGCAGTTATGATAAACTGGAAATATTCAGCTACTATAGTTTCTGCATTGTGCTCATAATTTCTCATCCATCAGCACTTTACAATAATTAAAAGGTGGGCTGATCCAGTATTGCAAGCTGATTTTAATGATGGGGCCCAGCTGAGATACAAACACACTTCCCCGATTAATTGATCCACTTCATCAGGAACTGTGCAAAATAAATCTGTAGATATTATATCATAGAATAAAATAAATGTAACATTTGTAACATGCTATATATTTCAGATGTATCATTTACACGGTAGTATTGACTATACAACACAGTATCACTTACATCAATTTACTCCCAAGGAATGTATCTCCTTTTACAAAATATTAAATGTAATAATAAAAGAAAAAATTATTTGAACTGAGACTGAACTTTAGTACGTCTCAAGTCCTCAGCTCTGGTTCATATTTCATAATTCAAGGTGTAATGAAGTTACTTTCATAAAACGTGGCTACTATAAGTAATAACATTCTGTCACCAAGCACTCCTATATTACAAGATCCAGCTGCCTAATGCGACAGATTAGATATATGCATCAGATTTATATCATATGTGTCTAATAATATGTTGGTTGTCGGATTGTGAAACCTTGTCATCTGGAAATATAGATATATTTATCAAAGTTGGCGTTATAGTGACGTTAAACTCAAGATTTAAATCTTAAAAACACATTGTCACATACCTTGGTATGAGCCTGAATTGACGAGGAGGGCCTCCATTGAGGCTCCCGTTGACGAATCTCTGGAGGGGGAACAGATGGTATACAGGCTGGGAGCAGCACGAGTGCCAGGAGTGTTGCTGCTGGTATCCGGATGGGCGGCGTTGGCCCCTGGGTGATGAAACAGCAGACCAATGGGTGTGGAGCCAGCAGAGGAGGACAGTATCCCAGCAGATCCAGAGTGGAGACAGACTGGTTCGGCAACTGGCAGACAGATGAGGCACAGAATCAGAAGGCACTAGAGACGTCAGGGGGACAGGCCAGGTCAGCAGCGGGAAGACAGTGCCGTACAGAAGCAGGATCCAGAAGAATGGTCAATAAGCAAGCCAGGTCACAACACAGGTCAGGAGCAGGATCAGGTTTATCAGATATAAAGCTGAAGATCACTCAGCAGGGAGGGTGTCCACCAGGTTTTCTTAAATAGCCCGTTTTGGCGCCACTGTCCGCAATGGACGTACTTGCGTAGTTTGCGCCGCGGCGTATGGAGACGCATCTATTGCACATGGATGTGTGCTGTATTAACCCCATGGCGCCTTCCTCGTGTGTATTTCCGCGCAATAACCCGATCCGGAGCTGTGGCATGAGCACTGACCTGACACACATTCATGTAGGTTAACTATTCTGAATTGGTGCTGACACTGTCCTTCTGGAGGGTGGCTACTTTTCTTTCTCAGGGTCCCTTTGTGTGTTATAAAGTAGCCACTGCTACAAGCTCATTCCCATGGTGGACTACAATCTCATGTTTAGTTTACTAAGTTGTTTTAAGATTGTAGTCCATCATGGGAGTGAGCTTGGAGAGGTGGCTACTTTACAACACACACAGGGACCATGGGGAACAAAAGTAGCCACCCTAAAGAAGGAAAGACAGTGTCAGCACCAATTCAGAGATGATTTAAAGATCTTCAGTATGAGTGATACTGAAGTAAGATACATTTCTGTTAATAGCTAAGGTACTTGAACTCATTTTTTATGATTTTAACTCTTGAATTTAGTGTCACTTTAAGGACGGGTCTGCCAAGTATCAAAAAACACTCTCCAGCCCATTCAGCACAACCCTCAGATCCTTTGATTGGTTGTGTTATGTCCCTCTTCAGGAACCAAAAAAATGGCTGCATATGCAGTTCAGTACCTCTCTTTTACCATTGAAACTATAAAGGATCACTAAGAGTAATTTGTTAAAGTCAGTGACTCTGATATACCGGATAAGACTTACTCTGCATGGAACCAAAGGCAAGGTGAGCTTTGCTAAGTACTTTTCACTTTTAAATCGGTTTCTGTTCTTGTCTGTTTTATAATACATGTTCCGTAAATATTCTTTCATAAATATATTGATAAATAATGATATTTAGATATTGTTA